GTTTTGTTGTATGCAATGTGTTTTGTTTTTTAAAATGAAATGAATAAATACTAAATTAATAAATTAAATTAAAGGCTATAATTCAACCTTTTTAAGACCTATTGAAATGAAATTTGTTGTGGGATAGCTAAGGATGATCACACGCCGATAACCATGCCTAAATTAGGCTAACTGCTAACGCTAATGGCTGATCAGGTGTCGGAGGTGGCACTTGCCACCCTGCTCACTCCTCTGGCTCCGCCCCTGCCTGCATGTTTTAGAAAAAGAGAGTCAAACTCTGTTAMACAAGGGGGCCAAAATTCAAACTTTGTCTAACCCAATCCTTGTCATTTGTTATTGAAAAATGTTTTTATTTTGTTTTTTAAATCAAATTATATTTTATGTAGCCTTTCGAACATACACATACTAACAAATGAAGAAAAAAAAAGATTTTTATGCACATTTACACTCTATGCACCTTACTCACAACTGTTTAATTGACCATTTCTTAGAGACACATTTTATCAAAAGCCGGCAAACTAATAAAAAATAAAACTTTCACCAAAAGTCTATTTATTTGACTTTTAAAATAGAAAAGAATACAGAATTAAAGTCAACTACTGTCGAGATAATTAGTGACTATAAAACTATTTTACATTTAAAATATTACCGTTGTAGATGGATAAAATGTTAACGAGGTCATGGATTTGGCCTGCGGACTTTGAGTTTGAACTATGTGCTTTAGAAATTTCTTCTCTCATATCGCTTCTCGGCCTTTTGGCTAAGATCAAGTGTAGTATCTGTTCTTATCAGTTTAATATCTGATACGTCCCCTACCCGTGGACCATATATTAAATTGATTTTTGGAACAGGGAGATGGAATAGGGGCTTGCTCCGTCCACTCCACGCATCAACCTGGTATTGCAGTACCTCCAGGAACGAAAAAAAAAATTCTCCTCTCCAACACGCCTGATTTGAACTTGACGAGGTAAGTCAGTGAAACAGGTGTGTTGGAGCAGAAAAACAAGCACCAAATCCAAGAGTAAAAAAATTAACCAAACTTCTTTTTTCTCTCTCTCTCTCTGCAGCGCTACATGTGTTTCGCCAACCCAACAGAGGTGAAGCCCCCCGAAGACCTCCAGGACCTCGGCGTCCGGTTCCTGCAGCCCTTCGTCAACCTGTTGTCCAAAGCCACCTACTGGTGGATGAACACGTTCATCACCTCCGCTCATCGACGGCCCATCGACCTGAAGGTCATCGGCAAGCTGCCCATCGCCATGAGGGCGCTCACCAACTACATCAAGCTGCGCCAGGAGTTTGAGGAGCAGAAGGTGAGATCTGATTGGACGGATCGTTGTTGTGACGTTTGACTTAACAGCTCTTATTTCTCATTTTAAATATTAAAGCTCACAAGTTTGCCTCATACAGAATTTGTTTTCATAAAATAAATCCCATCATTTTTAAATCAAACATACCTAAATACATGTGTTTACAAAGCTTTTTACCACAAACAGCTCCAATTGGATTTTCTTGTTGAGACAAATAGGATTTGAAGTATTAATATTCTTCCTGTGCAGCTTGTTTGTCTCCCGTTGTCCTCCATCTGAYATTTTTTCATCCATTTGCTATTTTTAATCTTTTTTTTTCTTTTTCCTAACGTTACATCCTCTTGAAGTGACCCTGAATCACACAGACCTCTTCTCTTTGTCCTGCTTTTCTCATATTAAAGCAGATTCAGTCCAGCCTGAACTGGACAATTCAACTTTATCTGAATGTCAAATAAGATGTCCTTCAGAAACATTTACAGGAAAATGTCTGATTGCCTTGAGCAGACAAGTGTAGGCGTTTTCATATGTATTTATTGTAGCTTTCTTTTGTATGTTCTGTGTGTTTCTCAGCCTTTCTGATTGGTGTTGTTCCAGGGGAGAATATTTTAGTTGTGTTTTTTTAGCCAATAGAAGATGTTTGTAGCATTTTTCCCTCTTCTGTGTTTGAGATAAAGGTGCTACAATGACTCAGCAGTTTCATAATTCCTCACAAACTTATCAACCGGCCTTTTTTGTTGCTTTTAAATCCTTTGTTGTGTTTTTTTAGACAAACATATTTTAAATAGAGAGAAATGAGTTTTCAGTGTCACATACCTGTACTTTAAAAACAGGCTAAATCACTGAACTGCACATTGAATTTGGAGGTCTGCTAAATGTGTGCTTTAAATATTAGATTTTGCATGATATGTTGCCTTTAATGTAGCAGGTCTTTTGAAGAAATGTTACATTTTAAAGTTCCTGTGACATCAAATATTTGTTATAAACATGAATGCATTTTTGGAATGATAACATTGATAACATATTGCGAAACAAATTTCACGTTGCTGAGATGAACGGTTGTTGAGATATTGGCATGTGAAGAAACAGGAAGTGATGTCAAAGGGGAATGTCAGCATGTAAACAGGGCGTTGTTGCAAAAGCTAACAATACAGGCTGTAGAGAATAATCTGATGTTTCTTTAGATTATTTTTAGTCACTATCAAAGAGAGACAAAGAAAAGTTAAAGTTTAAATAATTTTAAAAAGAAAAAAATTGTATAGGTCTTCTGGACGGGTTCTTCTCTAATGAAAYGTTTCGTCTCTCCTCCAAGAGACTTCTTCAGTCTGAGAGTTTCAGGCAAAATTCAGGCTTTTAAGCACTGCCTCCATGTGACCCCAGACCCAAACCAGTGGTTATTCCGTATGTTGTGGGTGTTTCGGAAAACTGAGATGTTTATTTTCTAAACATGATGTCCCAGTGGCTTTCAAGCCCCAAAACACATTACGGCAAAGGCTGGTTCACCCCAAAGATCCGGTKCCCCGGCACAAACAGAGCAATGTTGTATATGCTGTTAAGTGCCAGGAGGACTGCGACCAGTTAAACATCAGGGAAACAAAGCAGCCACTGTTCAAAAGAATGTCCCAACACAGACGAGCTACATCTAATGGCCAGAACTCTGCAGTTTTCACTCATTTACAGGCCAGCGGTCACTCTTTCAGAGATGAGGATGTTCTCATTCTTGATAGAGAGGAACGTTGGTTTGAGAGAGGAGTAAAAGAAGCCATTTTTGTAAAGAAAGACCGTCCATCACTAAACAGAGGTGGAGGCCTCCGTTTTCAGTTGTCCCCCTCCTACAGTGCTGCTATTGCCAGTATCACTCCACCCCCTGTTAACAATAGGTGTTAATTAGGTGTCAACGATAGCCATGTGATGTGAGTATGAGGCAGGGCTTAAAAGCCTGAATTTTGCCTGAAACTCTCAGACTGAAGAAGTCTCTTGGAGGAGAGACGAAACGTTTCATTAGAGAAGAACCCGTCCAGAAGACCTATACAATTTTTTTTTCTTTTTGATTTTTTTACCTGGATTACTGAGATGCATCAGGACATTTAAATAATTTTGTTTTTATAAACAGACCAGCGAGTTTATTTTATTGATGAGTTCCCTTTTGATGTCACTTCCTGTTTCACTTTGGCTGAGCTAAATTTAAAAGAAAATAGGTTGGTTATGTGACAAAATGGGTAAGAGCATGTGTACTGTGCCAATTTTATCAAGTATAAAGCTCTCTTTGACTTTTTGAATTTGAAGGATGGGCATCTCACAGGCACTTTAAATATTTACAGTATGTCTTTTTCAATTCAATCAATTTTACCTGAAACATATTTACAAAAAAGTGACTGTCCTTGTAAATTTGCCCAACTTTGAGATCAATTTTATTGTTTGGTTTAACTGTGTTTGTTTGACAAACACAGATTCATCATCATACCCTATAATTTCTTTTCCATTGTGTAGTAGCTGAAATGCTTTTAGCAGCTAAAAGTATGAATGCTTTCTGCTTATTCAGGTGCTTTAATACAAGACGATGTGAACAAGCTCAGCTGAGGTATAGAAATTAATCAAAAACTTGTTGTAGATTCTTTCAAGTTTAGCCCTTGCAGGTCTAGTTGGAGCAAACGTCTTATGTAGATCATTCTTTTGCGTCTCCCTCCGTCCACATGTCAGGGGTCAGACGTAAGGGGGCCTCCTCTGCGGGGTCACGGTTTTCCAGTGTTTGGAAGGTCACCCGAGATTCGTCACTGCTGCGTCTGTGTTCGGTGTGAACGCAACCCCGCTTCCTTCCGGCAGGAGTGAGGGGATGAGAGGGACGCACGGCTCCCAGTGGGGTTGTGGGGAAGGGCGGTGGCTTGGAGGGGGGTCCGGAGGAGCACGGGTCAGTCCCGTTTCACTGTGAACGAGGCGACATCTCGACCCCCGATGGGGCTGAACGCGCTGCGCTTCATGGGAAGCTCGTTTCGCTCCGAGCGTGTGCGACGGAAGGCCGCCTCCTCTGGTTTATTTGAACCTGGGATCGATGAGAGGAAAGAGCTTCTGCGTGCGTAAGAGTGATGTACGCAGTGACGCGTTAACGTCTGAAGGCTGAGGTTCAATACGAGCGCCAGCGAGGAGCTGGAAACACGTGACGGCAGTCACGTCTGTTCTCACAGATCTGACAGTGACTCACACTCACACGGATACACACTCAGAGTCTGAACAATTTGCTGCGACATGATGCTCCAGATGTTTCCCTCTGATCACTGAGTCACTAAACCAAACCTTCATAATTACAACCTCAAAGCTAGTTTTTATTTTCTGGAAAATTCTCAGTTAAAACAATCAGAACCTGAATTTTCCTCTTGTTTTATCTTCTGCTTCGCTGATGTAACCATTATTTCCAGCAGTGACTGTGTGCAGACTGAATGTATGTCAGTTCCTTTTCCATTAATCATCACGCTCAGATGCCGAGGCAGCAGCAAACTTGACCTCATTTTATGGGTTTCTGCAGGAGTTTGGTCCAACTCTTCAGTTAATGGTGCTTTAGTGTTCAAGCGATTATTTCTTTTTGCTCTTATAGCACTTTTTTACTGTCCAACCCTCTTCACTTTGCTTTTATTTTGCTCCTCAGGGGAGACAACACCTAATTTACTCCTTTTTCCATCGACGGCCCATTGTCTTGACCCTAACGGAGCACTGGATCAATACGGATGATTTAAAGAAGCCCTACAATTTTAATAGTTACTACAGTTAGGGAGGGTTAGGAGGAGTTTTACCCTAGCATGCTGATTTTAAAAAAATCTGAATTCCTATTTTATTTTATTTTATTTTCTAACTCAGAAGCCTCAGGGCACTGCACCCCAAGGACCAAAATGGATCTGGCTGGCTTTGAGGAAAGCGTTCGGCAGGCCCCTCGTCCTCAGCATCACATTCCGCTTCATGGCMGACCTGCTGGGCTTCGCTGGTCCTCTCTGCATCTCTGGCATCGTTCACCACATCAGCAAAGACAATCGCACCATTCAACAACCGGTGAGACGTCCCTGCAACAACGCACTGCTTTTTAAAAATTTATTTACCTTTTCATGAACATCACGTGACATACACTGCAAAAATTACACATTTAAACATAAGTTAAAAATACTAGATTATAGTCTGAATGTTTCCTCTATCATCGTAGAAGGAGGGCACTTTGTTTTTTTTCTAATGAACAACAMGTTTCAATATTTTCTCACATTTAACTGAAATATTATGTTGTGGGGGATAAATCCTSATTATTTCCCCCTCTCTCCCACTGTACTGAAGGAAATKTTGTAACTGATTAATTGAATGTTAGATGCAGTWCTGYATTTTATACTTTCTGATCATTGCAGCCTTTATGTTTGAACAGAGTGATAGTTGGTGTGTGTCTTATGTGCTCTTTCTTTARCCTAAACAAAAATGACTTACGYTCTACATCTGACAGAAAAGRWAACACCTCCAGGGGTGTAACCAGGAAGAGATGAACATTATAAGGTCAATTCATGATTACAGTAAAAAGAAGTTGTGAGTGTGTTGCAGAGTCTCTGCTCAGAGCAGAACTGTGTTTTGTTTTGGTTCAGCCCAGGGTCTTATACTGAGGCCTGCTGAGTGCTGTACTGTGAACCTGACTGGAGTCAGAAGATTGAGGATAAAGTTTTGATAAGAAATCCAGTGGATTCCTGTTTATTCGGACAYACCATTTTGAACAACGCAGTTTTCTTTCAGTACGTTGTGAAGCATATGAACAACCGTAGTTGTATTTTTCACAMTGGASTCGGAAAAAACTACGGAGATGAAAAGATGACGTGGACGTTCRCGTTCTCCAAAGTTCACCTTGCTAATTTAGCAATCCACTTTCGCTCTGAGAGTGTAGCAGATCGTTTTTAGCATCATTCAAAAGCTCAAGTGTATGGCAGGCTGTTTTTACATTTAATCTTCTTCACCACACTCACGTTCCAGATATCTGAAACTGGTTTACGACTGGACATTTTAGTTGTTTAAGTAAGAGATGTATGAGATTCAACTAATGCAAATGAAATTTCAGACTTTTTCATGTTCTGTAATTTTTTTAATATTAAAAAGCTGCACGCTCTTTTAATAAATATTAGTTCATTGCACCATTCTGTGTTTAAAAATTCATGTATGGCTTGGAGTGACTTTTACAGAAAGCAAATCTTTCCCTCTAGAGAGATTTAAATTGGTCATGTGACTAGGGCGTGCAGGTGTCCAGGGACTCCTCATATTAAGTCATATTAATCCTTATCGGCTAAATACCACAATTAACCGTGAACAATTTTTTTGCCAATATTGCCCAACCCTAGTACAAACACTGTCTTGTTTAGTACATCCGTCTCAAAAACATTTTTAGGCTGGATGTAAGGTTGTAAAATCTGGTTAGATGGACAGTTTTTGCAGTACAACAGAAGGAATCAAAGTGCTCTTTTTTTTCTTTCTTAGCCAGATCTGAGATAAGCCAGCCTGAAATGGCAGTAGGACATGAAAAATCTCAACAAAATTCATAATGAGAAATCACAAAAACTGAAGCAAGTCAGAAACGTCGCACCGCCTCCCCTTCGTCTCTCAGAGGTCACCGCGTAAGACGACGTCCCCGTGCACCTGCCTGACGCCGCGCTAATGTACACCTCTTCAAATATTCATGAGACTTATTGCTGCTGCAGCYCTTTCAGCTTCTTGGATTCCACACAGAGCAGACAGCAGACCGGGCATCTTTCTGTACGAAACAAACGTGCCGTGCTTTGTCGGTGGCAGCCGTAACGCRTGTGCCGCAGCGTCGGAATTTAATTAAAGAAGCACGAAAGAGCCGTGAGTCGTTCAGCAGAACAAATCCACCCGAGTGATTCAGTCTGGCAGAGGGAGAAAACGTGAACTCCGTCAGAGGACGATGAGAATGTTTGAATGTGAGCGGCAGAAGAAAGAAAACGGAGCGAGAGATTTTAATGATGGGTTTCAGACTAGAAACATTTTTCTGTTTAATAGTAACCCCTCCCACCCCTCCTGCCCCCTCACTGCCTGCAGAGAATGATCTCCACCTGATGCAGAATTAATTAATCGTTGAGGGAGTGCCCATCCACTGTATTCTTCTTGGGTTTCACATGTCAGCTGCAGAAGCTGCCGTTCAATTTTTAACTGAGTTTCATGAATGTCAAAGCCCAAAAATAGAAATTTAATACACGAGCTGTTATTGTTTCTTACTGACTAACAGTGATAAATCAGTCAGTAAATATTTATCTCTCCACGTTCTTTCTGCCTGTTTGTGTTCCTTAGATGAAGCTACTCGGCATCTATTTTATTTCCTCCAAAGAGTTCTTAGAGAATGCGTACGTGCTGGCCGTGCTGCTCTTCATCGCTCTGCTCCTGCAGAGGACCTTCCTGCAGGCCTCCTACTACGTGGCCATTGAAACTGGAATCAACCTGCGAGGAGCCATACAGGTGGGCTGAAACTCAACATGAGGTGCATGTTTCTGACACGTCGTTTGCCCGTTCAGGTCCAAAGCTTTGCCTTTAAAGATGCGAATTTGGCTTATTCAAGCATCAAAAATAATTTGATGCTTATATTAACAATGTTTTAAAGCAAAAATACACCATGTAATCCCTTTTAAGTCATGTTTTTTGCATGTTATAGTTAAAATTTGTAGATTTTTCTCACTTTTTAGTCATATCAGCTGTTCACATTGATTATTTTTGTGGAAATATGAGGAAATCGGTTTTATTATTGTTTTTTTTTGGAGCCAAATTTACAACTGAGTATTAGGGCCACACAAGATTTTTTATTATTATTACGAGATTAAAGTTGTAATAGATTAAAGTCATATTTTACGAGATTAAAGTCGTCATATTACGAGGGAAAAAAGTCATAATCATGACGTGTCTATTTCCCGTTCTTCATTTCCTAATTTTCCTCACACCTGCAGTGTACAGCCATGTGTCTGTGTTTATAAAGTAGTCCATGATGACTTGGGTCACTGTTAGATTAATATGCTTTCATACAAATTAGCTACGTGACGACTAAATCCGTCTCTTAATTACATTACGGCTTCAGTTTATAATTTCCAAGTCCTGCTACTGATAATTTGATGCTAATGTGCTAAAAGATTAACTATTTATTTATAGCAATAACAACTTGACAAGTTGCTCAACAATCCTCATTTTAATGCAGTGATAACTGCATGCTTTTTTGTGTAAAGGCTACAATATTATGACTTTTTTCTCGTAATTTTATGACTTTAAACTCGTAATATTATGACTTTAGTCTTGTAATGTTACGACTTTAAACTCATAATATTATGACTTTTAACTCATAATATTATGACTTTAAACTCGTAATTTTATGACTTTAAACTCGTAATTTTATGACTTTAAACTTGTAATTTTATGACTTTAAACTCGTAATATTATGAGTTTAAACTCATAATATTATGACTTTAAACTCGTAATTTTATGACTTTAAACTCATAATATTATGACTTTAAACTCGTAAATTATGACTTTAAACTCGTAATTTTAGGACTTTAAACTCATATTTTTATGACTTTAATCTCGTAATTTAAAAAAAATCTCATTGTGTGGACTCCGTCATACAAATTAGAGAATTCTATAAATTTAAAAAAAGGGGGAAAAAAGCCTGAGTTTTCTCCAGTATTTGTTTTCTTTTTTGCTTTTTACCAGGAAAAAATGGATTTTGAAATAAATAAAATAAAAGAATCATTTAACACGATTTACACGTTTTTGTTTCCCTTCAGACCAAAATCTACAACAAAATCATGCGCCTGTGCACGTCCAACATGTCCATGGGAGAGCTCACCGTCGCTCAGATTTGTAACCTGGTTGCCATCGATACCAACCAGCTAATGTGGTTCTTCTTCCTCTGTCCGAACCTGTGGGCAATGCCGGTACAAGTAAGGAACACATTTGTCTCCTCTGAAGGCTTTTGTGTCTTTCATCCAGAGGGAGCGGAGCAGCGTCAGTAGGTGTTTCTGTTGATGCGTTTCATGATTTTATCTCCACCTCAGTGCAGCTTTGCTTCTTTAGATCTGAGCTACAGGGAACAGTGGGCTAATTCAGCTCTGATGTTTGCAGCAGAAAAGAAAAAATGATTGTTAATTTAAAAAAAAGAAGAAACAAAGCAGTTCAACCTCTTATTCCCACTTTTTTCAGGATTTTACATCAGTTTTACCTATTTACTTAGAAACTAAGCACCATTGTTCTACTGGACTGAAGTGAGCTAATTCTGCAGCAGTTGCTTGTTCTACATCTTGCATTGTGCTGCATTTCTCATCCCGCAGGAYTTGTTCAGCAGGCAGAGCTGTTAGACCATGTGGGGAATAAAGCATTGTTTTCTGACAGGTGTGTTTGTGTTAAACTGATGCTCTGCGGTTGTGTTGCAGTCTAGTCTGTTCTGCTGTTTTTATAGAGCTTTTCTGTGGGAGAATTATGTGAAAGTGACACACAGGACAATTTTTGTCAAACTATAACACAGGGCTGTTCAACTGGCGGCCCGCGGGCCACATCCAGCCTGCCCAATTGTTCATTCATCTCTTAAGCCCAAASCCCCAGTTTTCTACTTTAAATCCTACAAGTTCTTTTAGTTAAACATAGACATGTTTGTTATCTACAGAAACGTCAGAATCTTAGCTAGAAGCTGGTAAAAACCATTTCTATGAACACCCAAGACTGTTAAAACTACAAACAGTTGAAGATAAAACTATGAAAGTGAAAATAAAGTTGTTTTAAAAATTTGGCAAGTCAGAGATGTCAAAATAATGTTTTAAATAGGAGGCATAATGTGTTCTTTTTGTTTTTGACATTGTTTTATTATTACTAATTTTATTAGAGGGTTCTGGATGTTGTATTCGTGGTGAAATGCAGCAAAAATAAACAATTTCAGAGATAACAGATCTTTGTAATACTTGGTTTATTTACATAATGACTTTAATTGCATGTTCGACCCCCGTGCCGTTGGCCTGCTGTAACTGTGGCCCCTGGAGAAATTTAGTTAAATAGCCCTGATAATAAAAGTTTCAGGATACAAAGTAATCATCTATTGCAATGTTATCTAGCTTTTTAAGTAAATGCTTTATTTAGCATTATAATATCTGATTTTTTAACAGTGACTCTTGCATTGTTGCTTATATTTGAATAAATTTGCATCTGCCTGTAGATGATATGCAAATAGATTTGTGTTTTTATAATCAACTCTGTTTAACACAGCTGTGTATTTGTTTATTCAAATTTATCTGATTTATTGTTCAGATTGTTGTTSTTTGCCTTGAAATTTAAATATTTAAAGTCTGAAAAACATTTATTTTTGCCTGAAACCTTTTATTTTGACCATTTTTTTCGTTTGAAATAATTGTTTTGAGATAAAGCAAAGAAGTCATTTCTTTTTAGAAAACACGTTTTAAATCTGAGGTAAAATGCAGATTATCAGTGTGAAAATCTGAGTACAAAATGAATTTAAAATATTTGTTTTCACACAATAATCCAGCTCAGAATTTTACAATCTGAAGGCYCGATTTACAGATGGAGTTCAGGAAGACGTTCGTTGATTATCACGCTGTTTTTAAATCTCGTCAACACAGACACGCGTTCAGTGATGCTTCARCATTTAGTGATTCTCTGCAGGACTTTATGTGGGAATATCAAAATTCAGACTGTGAATGTCCCCCGAACTGAATYACAATTCACCAAGAAACTGCAGATATGCTTCAATTAGGCTTTATTACAAGARCACAATGAATAAAAAGACGTTGGGAACCAAAGGGAAACCAGAGTGTTTGAGCGACGTTTCACGGGCTGTAGAAAAACCTGCTGAGATGTTGATTGTTGAAGCAGCATTAGCATTCACCGTTGCGCACACCTGTCTGCTCAGCACTGAACTCACTGTGCTCAGATTTATTCTGCGGTGAGTCAGTGAGTGCCYAAAACTCACCTAGATATAATACATCAGGTTTTTGTTTAGGTTTTGTGRCTCTGGAACACTATTTTGTCCTTTTTCTAGTCAGATAGAGTTGATACTGAGAGTCTGAATTAATTGGGGKAATCGTGACGTGTTTAATGAAACCGCTGGTGCGATCAGTCTTGTTTTGAGGTTTTGACAACTAATTCCTACAAGAAAAGCTCTCGCCTCTCAGTTGCCTCAGCATGAGAGCAAAACAAAAATTCAAAATGACAGGAATCTTAATTGGAATCAGTCACCTCTAATCTCATCAAATACACGCTCACGCCTCCTGTTCTKAAAACCTAAATATCTGCAGAAACAAATACCTCTCCCCTTAGTGCCTCCCACCTCTGTCTTCTCCGGGGGGCTTTTAGGAATTGAAACATCCTTCAAGATGATTACTGAGATCGATATTGGGGTCACGCGCAGGAGGACGGAGGAGAGGTGGACTAAGAACACAAAAAGATTGGATATGAGCCGAGCCTTGAGCTAATTCAGCCGGTGTCCTTGTCCGGCTGACCTTTCCCGTCAACTTTATGTATTTCCTCATTAATTAAGACGTGTGGGGGATGTCATGGTGAAAAACTACATGCATGTAGGAATTAAAGGCCTRGAAATCCTTGAAGAATCACATCAGTGATGAAGGACAGATTTGTAGCCATTTTGGTCAAATCTTGAAWATAATATWAATTCATCAAATTGTTTAGTTGTTTTTCAATAAACGACTTCAGTTTGAGCTGAAATGTTTGAATAAATATTTGCTGACTTAACATAAAATTTCATTCACATCTCTTTTAAAATAATCTGATGTTTGTGCTGCAGCTGTTACTTTTTATGTGGTTCCTTATCAGTCAGCTTGGATTGAAATCCTGCAGACAAAGCAGCTTTTCCTGTCCGGTGTGAGGTGTGAATTATTTAAAGTGGTGGTGGTGGGGGGGCATGCTTGGCTGTCTCCCTCCAGAGCAGATGCTATAAAAAAAATAAAAAAAGCTAAAGAAAATCAGACACCTTGACTCTAGTGACACATATCTTGTGAGCAATGATGGGGGGTTGGGTGGGCAGCCGGGTGGCAGACTGTCACATCCATCTCTGTCTGGTTGTGTCCTCTKCTACGGAGGACCAAAGCTGACATAATTTAAAAAAGGAGACCTTGTATGTTTTACAATTTAGTTGACCTTCATTTTTAATTTTCCAACTTAGTTCCAACAGATTATACATGTTAGCACATAATTTTAATTTTACTGTTTTAAATTTGTTTTTTGTCTTTTATTTGTAGATTCATTTGTGTCTCTTAAATCTTACATTTTTTCAAGTCTTTTTTATTTTTCGCTCATTGTATTTACCTTTTCCAGTCTTTTTCCAGTCCTTATGCATTGCTGCCTCCTTTAGGCAAACTAATTGGTTCATTTTAAGTGTATTCATTTATTTATTTATTTATTTGGCCATTTATATATTTCTGCTTTTATTTTTAATTACGTCAGTTTCAGTCTTCCACACTATCTAACATTGACTCTCAATGCCAGTAATGGAGGYTGAGCTAGAGCATGCTTTACATCACTGTTGTGGACATTTAGAGGGAGATAATGTAAAATTATTAACAGTTTAAAGCAGCAGCTTTGATTTTTCTTCATTTTGAATMATTTAGCAGTTATTTGAAGTGAAGGATTTGTTTTGCCTGTTTCTCCTGAATTACACAGTTGAGGTCAAACACTGTAGCGCTGCATTCATGGTTGCTTCAGTTCATTATAAAACTGAAAACTATCTTTTTGAAAGTTTAGTATTCCTGCTGCAYGATTGTTTCATGTGAATCTTTGCCTTTCAGATCATTCTGGGAGTTATGCTCCTCTACTACCTCTTGGGAATCAGTGCCTTGATTGGAGCGACCATCATCGCCGTGTTAGCTCCGGTGCAATACTTTGTGGCCACAAAGTTGTCACAAACACAAAAGAGCACTCTGGTGGGTGTCATCGTTCTGTTGGTCATTATTTTTATTTGTTTATAGCCATATTAGCACCTCAGACTGCTCTAAATGATGGAAAATCAACATGTTTTGAAGAGTTTCACTAAAAACTCCATAGTTCTCCTTGTTTACCTGCTTCATACTTATTCTTTCTGCAGTTCTGGTGTTCGTTCCTTGACGTGTAAAATTACGGTTTCAATTGTTGCTCTTGCAGGAGTATTCCAGCGAGCGGCTGAAGAAGACCAACGAGCTGCTGAGGGGCATCAAGCTGCTGAAGCTGTACGCCTGGGAGCACATCTTCAGGGACAGCGTGGAGGAGACCAGAGGCAAAGAGCTCACCAGCCTGCAGGCCTTCGCTCTCTACACATCTATATCCAGTACGGCTCCTATCACACACAGCAGCACAAAAAAAAAACTTTTTATGTTTGCTATCAAGCTGAAGCATTTCGATTTAAGTGGAGTATTAAAAAAACAACTAAATATGACAATAATATGAGTTTTATGGTCATTTCGATCATGAATTATTGCTCTCACATTTATTTTCCGTTTACTCAGGACAGCAGAGGACATTATCGTCACTCAGAGCTGATTTATTTCCTTCAGTCTGTCTTTCCCTAAACTGCTTTCTCAGTTTCCTGTAGAAGAACTGCAGCAGTCTGTGTGGCTCCAGTTTCTGAAGAAATTATCTTTAATCTAAATCAATAGCTGCAAACTAAGAAGAGAGAGCGATGATGTGCTGTTTGGCAGTTTTACAGAAAGAATGAGACACTGGAACTACAGCATTGGTATTCGTGATGCTCCACCTGCAATACGGAGAGAAACAATCAATAAAATAGAAGAAAGGAAGCAGGAAAATGACCCTATGYATTCACTATATGCTCATACAGCAGTCATCCAACAAACATAATATACAGGAAAAACAGAATAAACCAAAGGAAAGATCCAGATCAATAAGTCATTGAGCATCCAACCATCCTGAGACCCCAGGAAAAATTAGCTTAAGGTTTCAGACTTCAGAGAAACAAAGTGGTGTCTGAAAGATCCAAACCAACTTGGTAAAATGGTAGCTCTGTAGGAATGCAGCCTGTGAATGCATCTTTTAACTTCCTGCATCCTGTACATATAACATCTGCAGACACACGTCGTGTCAACGAGAGCGAAGACATGGCTGTCTTTCTGGTGTGATGATGATGATAATGGTGATAATGGTGATGATGATGGTAATGGTGATGAATGGAACTATTAGCTGTAACATTTTGGTTTTGTATTGATGGCACTGCAGCACTTTGACAGAATTTGATGTTTAATTTGAATTGGATGCGTAATTCTCATAATTTTCAATACTTACTGTCGCACAAGAAATGAAAAAGATATATTTGCGAGCTTCAGACAGTCACTGGAGGGTAAAAATCAGTTTTGAGTCATAAAAAATCAATAGCTATTACCTATTTAGTTTATTTAATGTTAAAATAGATTAGTGGTAAACAGTATTTTACCTGCAGCACTTAACACAAACAACTRTATAATTCTACATTTTTTCTGCCTCCTATTTGTTTTTTTCTGTTTAATCCTGATGAGACGTCACATCCTCCTGCTCTGTTTTCTTTCAGTTTTCATGAATGCAGCTATTCCCATCGCAGCTGTGCTGACGGTGAGTTTGTGTTTTACAATAAATCAGGTTTTCTTGAGTTAGTAGCCAAAACATTGCTGTATTTTATCTCTCTGTGTGGAYGGAGGCACTCTGACTCTGACATTTCACAGTGATACACAGACGACCATCTGACAGCAGAACACTAAATCCTTCCCGGTTTAATAGAATCCACCAAGGCTGTTGTGTKAAACTACTAAAAGACACAAAATCCAGACAAACAGCACAGAGCAGGGACGACATGCAGACAAACGATTCATCTCCGACTTGGATCCATCCTGACTTGTACCTTGAACTGGACACAAATAACTGCCACCTCCAAGGAAGAAACATTTGTTTCAGGCTTACCTAGGACACTGTGTCCTTTCTGTGACCCCGCAGACGTTCGTGGTCCACGTCCACATCTCCGAGGACGCCGATCTGTCCCCGGCTGTGGCCTTTGCCTCCCTCTCCCTCTTTCACATCCTGATCACGCCCCTCTTCCTCCTCTCCAGCGTCGTGCGCTCCACCGTCAAGGCTCTCGTAAGGTGAGGGGGGGAAAAAAACCCAACAAAAAATGTCTCATTTGTTTTGGTTGGACCGTTTATTGGTCAGCACATTTCTGGGAACGGTCTCACAGAGGGGAGCGTTAAAGAGAGACAGGGGAAAAAAACTGTCTGAGAATGAGCAGGGTGCTRAAAAGCAACATGATTAGATGAAGCGTTGACCTTTTCCTGCAGCAGATGGATCTGCTGTTTTATTCGATCCTGTAACCAACACCATCGCTCCTCTGCTGTTTTATCAACTGGCATCTGACTCGAATCGGTTTTTTTCTTTTCAGACGTCAACTTTACAATTACTTTTGCTCCTATTTGGCTGCTACATTTTTGCCAGTTTTCTAATCTCGTCGTTTCTCCGACCTTTTAATTTAGATGTGATGATTTAGCTGTATTGAGCGATGCAACTGACACGTCTTCACCTTCAGTCTGTATTTTTTAAGCCTTTTATTATCAGGGGAGACGAGCATCAGCTGAAAAAAATCACAAAAACCCCTAAAAATCTGCTTTCAAAAGTCTTAACAGAAACGACATAATAACTAAAACTGTTCACTTAAAGTGATTAGTCGTGCCTTAAAGAYGCACGCTTTAGCAAAATCAAGTCGATTAAGAAGTGAGAGAGTCTTGAAAAGATGTCACTTTGGAAGGACTGAGGAAGAGCGTGGTGAAGGTAATAAGGGCATGTCACTTTAAATCCAATCTTCTCCCTCTGTGCCTCCAGGATATGATCACAGGTTGGAGAGTTCTGTAATCAGTGAATGAAATTGCAGCAGGATTGCCTWAAATTGTCCTCGACTGCACATCGCACCTTTTTGCTTTTAGTTCGAGGAATCGTCTCCTGTCGTCACGCTGGCGTCAGTCTCACTAAACCTGTTTTATTKTAATGAGGTCGGATGTGAAAGCTGCCAGCGATCCTTTGAGGTATTCATGTTGGTTGTGAATGATGTGACTCCCTGAACTGCATCAGGAAAACTGTGTTTACACACAATGTTGACTTTGAACCTGGTCCTTGTTCACCAGATTCTTGAAATTATCAACAGCAGATCAGAATCAGAATATAATTTATTGACCAAGTATTTTTATGTACAAGGAATTTGACTTGGTGTTGAGGTGCAGAACAAACAGCATAAACAAGGAATAAAAACCAAAAGTAAACGAGTAAAAAAAAGAAAGTGTAAGATATGAAGTATATATAAATAACAACTAAATGCATCAAGATAAAATAACTTTTAGACAAATGACTAAATAAGCTTAGCTAAGACTTGATGGAGGAGGTGAGGGTGRACTGGCTCTGAGGTGCACCATCGTTGGCAGGTTGAGCTTCTGAAGAGGGATATTACAAGATTTTCCATTCCTTTCCTCTGAGTTATTTTTTTCTATCATTTTTCAAACCTGGTCCTTTTTATTCACTTGTTGAAAAGTGCTCCTCCAGCTGCCTTTTTATATTTGTACCATTATTTTCCCAGYCTTTTGTTGCYYCGACTGTATTGAGTTGTGTTGCTACCTTCAAATTCAAAATTACATTTTTTCCTAAAAAATGGTGCAATTTTTTAATTTCTGATTTGTTATTCAAAGGGGGCCAGAATTCAAAACTTCTGTCAGTATTTATTTTAAATCATATTGTTTTTTTAAATGTTATCTAACAACTCATAATAAAAATACATATATATATTTTCCCAATTTACATTTTAACCAACTCTCAACGGAAACTTACCAGACTTACTGCCGGCAATGCGGACCAGACTCTGACACCGGTCGTACAAGGACCTGACAGCCCGTATCAA